ATTCCACGGCAGGGAATTCCGCGCCAGGGAATTCCGCGGCAGGGAATTCCACACCAGGGAATTCCGCGCCAGGGAATTCCACACCAGGGAATTCCACAGCAGGGAATTCCACACCAGGGAATTCCATGCCAGGGAATTCCACGAAAGGGAATTCCACACCAGGGAATTCCACACCAGGGAATTCCGCGCCAGGGAATTCCACGGCAGGGAATTCCACGCCAGGGAATTCCGCGCCAGGGAATTCCACGGCAGGGAATTCCGCGCCAGGGAATTCCACACCAGGAAATTCCACACCAGGGAATTCCACGGCAGGGAATTCCACACCAGGGAATTCCGCACCAGGGAATTCCACACCAGGGAATTCCACACCAGGTAATTCCGCGCCAGGGAATTCCACGCCAGGGAATTCCACACCAGGGAATTCCACACCAGGGAATTCCGCGCATTCCCATTCATCGGGAAATGTCAACAGCCAGTGGGAAGAGCGCTCTGGGCGCCCAGAACGAGGCTTGGGTGGGGGAATTGTGGCAACAAGGTCTCACCACCGACCTTAAAGTGTCTGCTGGAAGATCCAGCCGCCTCTGGCTTTGGTGCTGACCCCTCTTCCCTGCGCCCTCCAGCTGCTGAGAACAAGTTTGCCAAGTTCCTCCTGAGCTGCCTCAAGTGCTGCTTCTGGTGCCTGGAAAAATTCATCAAGTTCCTCAACAGGAACGCCTACATCATGGTGAGCGTCGCCCAAATCCACCGCCCTCGAAGGGCTGGGGCTGCCCTGGGGGCAGCTCCGAGGTTTTCCTGGGAATTTTGGCTCCCGATGCTGCGGGAAAACGGAGTTTTGAGGCGTTTTCCGGCTGTTTGGCTGGAAAACCTCGAGCTCAGCCATAAGCTGTTGGTTTTGGGGAGGACCCGCCACGGGTGGGGGTGGTTCAGCTCTGGGTTTTCCTGGTGGATGAGGAAACACTTCCAGGGTGGGATTTGCACCCTCCCCATGGCGGTGGACTCAGTGCAGCCCCGTTTCTCTGTCCTCGTTTTCCGGCCCAGATCGCCATCTACGGCACCAACTTCTGCACCTCGGCCCGGAACGCGTTCTTCCTGCTGATGAGGAACATCATCAGGTGAGATCCCGGCGGGACGGGAACGTTTTCCGCGCGTGCCTTGGCTGCTTCTGTCGGAACTCGGGGCGGGGAGCAGACGCTGAGGCTCATCTCTCGTCTCCAGGGTGGCCGTGTTAGATAAAGTCACGGATTTCCTCTTCTTCCTTGGGAAGCTCCTCATTGTGGGAAGCGTGGGTGAGTGCTGGCTTCCGGAAGTTTCTCCTCAGGGCATCCAGCTGCCAACCGTCACCGGTTGTGCTGTCCACCCCTGGAAAAGCCGCTCCTTTCCATCCTCTTCTTGTCCATCCCTTGCTTCCCCAGGAATCCTCGCCTTCTTCTTCTTCACCCAGCGCATCAAGCTGGTCCAGGACACGGCGCCGCCGCTGAATTACTACTGGGTCCCGATTCTGGTGAGCTGCCCTCTCTTCTTTGGGGTGGCTTTAGAAGGCCAGAGATGCCCCACGCTACCCCCTCCCCACCCTTCAAGGACCTCCTTTGTTGGAGGTGTTTTCCCAGCCGCCGGCGCAATGGGCCCTTTGTCGGTGGCTGCTGGCGCCGTGCCCGCCTGCGCTGCCCACTTTGGCCTCCATCCAGCGGTGGCTGAGGCCTTTTGTCCCCACTCGGGCTGCTCCCAACAGTCCTGCCCTGTTTCCCCTTCCCCTCCTTCCCCTGGGGAATGTGGGATTCAGCATTTTCCTCCTCCTCCCGCTGGCTCCGGGCTCTCATCGGCGCGCGGCGTCTCTTCCAGACGGTGATCGTGGGCTCCTACCTCATCGCCCACGGGTTCTTCAGCGTGTACGGCATGTGCGTGGACACCCTCTTCCTCTGCTTCTGTGAGTATCAACAAAAACCCCCTCTCCCATCGGGTTCGCTCCCAGATTGTCCGGTTTGGGGTTTTGCTCCCGATCCCGGGGTTCCTCCGTGTGGTTTTCTCTCGCTTTTTCCTTTTTTCCTCACTCCTCACCTGCTCTCCCCTCGCTCGCTCCAGCTGAGGCCCCAGGCCTGTCCGTGGGCATCTCTTCCTGTTTTGGTGCTTTGGGCTCGGTGGAATTAACCACAACTAACCTCAGTTTCCCTTTTTTTCCCTCCTTGTTTTCCTCCTTTTTCCACCTCTCCCATGCGCGTCCGGTCACGCCTTCTCCATCCTCCACCTCCGCCCTGTCTCTCTCCCCGGCTCTTCCGCTGCTTTTCGCTCTTCCCCTTCACGGCCGCTTCTTCCCGGGGCTGGAAAAGGTGAAGATCTGGAGAGAAACGATGGATCTCTGGAGAGGCCTTACTACATGTCCCCCGAGCTCAGCGAGATCCTGCTGAAGGGGCATCTAGAACCTTCCAAAAGCGCCGATAGCCAAGGCTAGGGCCCAGCGCTGGCTGGAGGCCGCAGGACCCTCCCGGCCCCGACTCCCGCGGTGCTGCTCTGTCCCCCTGGAATTCCTTCGTGGGTGGTGGACACTCAACGCCCGATGGTGTCCAGTCTTCCTTCCTGCCCCAAAAATCCGTGTTCCTGCATGGAGAGAGCCCGGCTGGAGTCGGTTGGGGGGTCCCGGTAGCGCCCGGCGAGGGGTGCGGTGCCTGAGGTCGTGGTTTTTGTTCCCGAGGGTGGGCCGGCGTGGCTGGCACGAGGAATCCAGCGTGGAGGGACAGGGGTTTGTGGGATGGGCCGAGAGGGTTCTGCCGTCCCAAACTGGTCCCTGGGCGTTTCCTCCGTGTCTGCTTCAGCCAAGAGCAGAGAAACTTTCCTTGCAATTTCCTCATCCCTCTCCTTGCGATTTCCTCACCTCCTTCCTTGCAATTTCCTCACCTCTTTCCTTGTAATTTCCTCACCTCCTTCCTTGCAATTTCCTCACCTCCTTCCTTGTGATTTCCTCACCTCTTTCCTTGCAATTTCCTCACCTCTTTCCTTGCAATTTCCTCACCTCTTTCCTTGTGATTTCCTCACCCTTTTCCTGCCCTTTCCTCACCTCTTTCCTTGCAATTTCCTCACCCTTTCCCTGCCCTTTCCTCACCCTTTTCCTTGTAGTTTCCTCACCCTTTTCCTGCCCTTTCCTCACCCTTTTCCTCACCCTTTCCTCACCCTTTCCCTGCCCTTTCCTCACCCTTTTCCTTGTAGTTTCCTCACCCTTTTCCTCACCCTTTCCTCACCCTTTTCCTTGCCCTTTCCTCACCCTTTTCCTGCCCTTTCCTCACCCTTTTCCTTACAATTTCCTCACCCTTTTCCTTGTAGTTTCCTCACCCTTTTCCTCACCCTTTACCTGCCCTTTCCTCACCCTTTTCCTTGCCCTTTCCTCACTTCTTTCCTTGTAATTTCCTCACCTCTTTCCTCCCCCTTTTCCTGCCCTTTCCTCCCCCTTTTCCTGCCCTTTCCTCACTTCTTTCCTTACAATTTCCTCACCCTTTTCCTTGTAGTTTCCTCACCCTTTTCCTTGTAGTTTCCTCACCCTTTCCCTGCCTTTTCCTCCCCCTTTCCCTGCCCTTTCCTCACCCTTTCCCTGCCCTTTCCTCACCTCTTTCCCTGCCCTTTCCTCCCCCTTTCCCTGCCCTTTCCTCACCCTTTTCCTGCCCTTTCCTCACCCTTTCCCTGCCCTTTCCTCACCCTTTTCCTTGCCCTTTCCTCACCCTTTCCCTGCCCTTTCCTCACCCTTTCCCTGCCCTTTCCTCACCCTTTTCCTTGCCCTTTCCTCACCCTTTTCCTTGCCCTTTCCTCACCTTTTTCCTGCCCTTTCCTCACCTCTTTCCCTGCCTTTTCCTCACCTTTTTCCTGCCCTTTCCTCCCCCTTCTCCTCACCCCGTCTCTATGCAAACCACAAAACTCCCAAGGACTCCAGGCGAGGCTGCAGACCTTTGGCTTCACACCCGCTGCTTCAGCCCCGTGCCCTGAGCGGGCCAGGAGCCGTCCCCGCTGGCCACAGGGACTCGGTGGCCACTGGCACTCAGAGGATTTCACTCCAGGCACGGGAGGGGTTGGGATTTCTCCTCCAGACAGCCCAGAAATGATCGAGATTTATAAAAACAGCTCTCGTGGCTCAGCCACAGCTCCCGGCCAGACCCTCCCAGGACAAAGCCGCAGTGTCGACGTTCCCGTTTCCATCCCGGAAAGGATCCAAATCCCTCTCAAAACACCCCCCTGGCTGTTGTGAGCCTGGGGCTTTGTGGTTTTGTGGCTTTGTTTGGTTTTGGGGTGTTGTTTTTGACACGGTTGGGATTTTTCCGACCTCGTTGGCGCGTCGGGAACGAGGGGAATCGCTTTGCGTCGGCTCCAGAGGTGTTGTGAAGAGCCGAGGGGTCCCTCCTGCTCTCGGTGCTGTCCAACTTCACCCCGAGAAACAAAACCCCCAAATTTCCTCTTTCTTAATCCCCGTTGGCCATTCCTGGCTTTGCTGCGACGAGAAATTCCCCGTTCCACGACCAGGCTTTATTTAATCCGGGAATCGTTGTTGGGAGGATCCCAGGAGCCTCCACATCGCACCAACCCCGCCGTGGGGCCGGGGCTTTCTCTTTGCAGTGGAAGACCTGGAGCGCAACGACGGCTCGGCGGAAAAACCTTATTTCATGTCCCAGAACCTGAGGAAACTTCAGGAAACTTCTCAAGAAGACCAACAAAGGCCAGCCCGAGGCCTAGAGCCGCCCGTCCCACGTGGAATTCACCTCCATGGACCTTGGACCACCCACTCCTCCCCTCCCCGGCAGCGCCGGGGATCGGTAAAAACGCGGATTTTTCACGACTCGGCCTTAAATCCTTGCGCCGGTGACGATGACGAGCTTGTCGCCGCTAACGAGCCGCAGGGCCCCGTGATAAAAACGGGAGAAATCCCAATTCCCGGGGTTCGGCGACTCTGGAGCGAGTTTAGGTGTTTGATCCCATTTTGATCCCGTTTTGATCCCATTTTGATCCCGTTTTGATCCCATTTTGATCCCGGTGAAGCCTTCTGGGATCGGCTTTTCCTCATCGCCGGGGATTTGGGCGCGGAGGTGATGGTTGAAGGAACTGGGAGGTTCAGGCAGCTCCTCGTGGGGTGTTTTCCTTGTGACCCCCCCAAAAATATTTAATTACGGTTGTTCATTCAAGCCAGGACGGGCTGGGATCACTTCCCATCCTTTGCTGCCCTTTTGAGACCCGTTCTGGGCCCTAATTAATTAATTCTTTTAGGAATAAGCTAATTAATGCTCTTGTAGCCGCTGCAGGGAGCGAAGGTGAAGGAGAGGGGGCAGAATTTGGCTCTGTCCGGTTCTGGCGCCTCTCGAGGCACAGATTTCCACAGATTCCTCCCCAAAAATCTGCGCCCGGTCCCAAAATTTGTCGCTTTAGGGCACGGCCTCCCCCAGCTCCCTTCACCGGGGTGAGGGGTTTTGGGACCCCCGCCCAAAGCGTGGGGAGGGGGCGTGGATGGACCTTGAGGGGGGTTTTGGTTTAATTCCGGGTGATTTTAGCAAAGCCAGTGGCAGCCGACACCTCGTGGCTCTTGCCAGGAGGGGAAAAAAGGGAGTTATTTTTTGAGCTGAAAAGGGGTCAATTAACTCTAAAACATAATTAACTCGAGCTTAAAATATAACAGAATTAACCCTCAGACCTGGTGGAGCCAGGGGAGCAGAGCCACCGTCAGCAATTGGGATTTTTTTGGGGGCTCGTTTGTTCAAAAAGGATTTAAAGAAACGCTCTGAGGATTTGGGGGGACCAGTCCCACCTTCCCCCCCCTGTCAGGGCTCCAGGAATTGGTGCTGAGGGATCCCTTTGGCTGCTTTTTATCCCAATTCCTTTGTTTTGTATCATCCAGGGGGCATTTCTATGGAATTATCCAATGCTTTGGGGAAGCTTTTGTATATTTTGCTTTTCCAGGATGGTTTTTTTTTGGTTGGGGTTATTTGGAGCTTTTCCAGTGAATTTTTGGGGGCGAGCTTTGGTTTCTCTGACGCCGCCGGGCAGAGATTCCCGTGCTGGAATCAAACACTGAAATTTCCCTGATTTATTTTTATTTTTTTAAAAAAAATTTCCCTATATTTTCCCTTTTCCCGCCTCATTTTTCAGCTGATAGAGGAGTGGAAGGGAAAATTGAAGCCAAAAAAAAAAATGAAGGAAAAGGTAAAACCGGAAAGGTGAAGGGAAAGACAGAAAAGGTGAAAAAAAAAGCTAAAAAAGCAACAGTAAAGCTCAACAGAAAAATGTCAAATGGAGCTAAAAAGAGGAAAATCCTCCCTGTTTGGGAGAAGTGGGAATAATTCAGGGAATAATTTTTCCAACTTACAGCCATTCCAGCACCTCCAGTCTTGTGTCCTGCAGCTCCTGATGCTGGTTCTGGATTCATTTCTTTCCCTCCCTGTGCGGGTTTCAGGGTGGTTTTGGTTTTATTTCTGCTCAGAATGTTCGTGTTGGGGGCAAATTCCCTCTCGCTCCTCGATTTTCAGCTGTTTTCCACCTAAATCCTGAACCTTTGGGTGTGGGAAACAACCGAGGAGCAGCGGGAACTGGGTTTATTTGCTTAAAAAAGGCAAAAAAACGGCAGGAATTGGGAAATCTGGAAGGAAAAGCAGTGAGGGAGAGGAGAAATTTGGGAAGAGGTGTTCCTGGGGAAGCCAGGCTGGCTCGGCTGCCTCCCAGCAACGCAGGATTTGAGGAGAATTAAAGATTTTTATTCCCAATAAGGCCCGAGTGGCTTTTTAGAGGTGAAAAGTGACGGTGATGGGGAGCGGTGAGGGAAATATTCCTGTAAATTTGGGGTTTTTTTTGGAAAACCCAGAGTGAGGGCAGAATTTGGTGTCTGGAACAGCTTCACCCCATGACTGGTTTCCTTCTCTCAAGCAAAACTCCGTGTTCAAGGCGTTAAATTACAGAATTTAGGATTAACAGTGCTTTTTTCCCTGTCTAGAAACGTTGCTTCTGTCCCTGCAAACCAGATTGTTCTGCGTGCAAAAAAACCAAGCCCAAATCCTAAACAAAAAAAAGTGCTAAAACCCACAGGGGCTGATGTTTTACACAGAAATTCTCGTTTTTCACGTGTTTTTGAGGCATTAACGGTGCTGTGATGCTCCGGAGTCTCCGCGCGGTTCCGTCAGCGTTGCCACCAACAATAAAAAAGTGCCTGTTTGGACCTCGTTCTGTTGTGTCCTTCCCTGTGAAATCACCAATTCCACCGCTTTTCACCCTAAAATTGCCATTTCAGCATTTGTTCAGCTGTTTCCAAAGTCAGGGGGGTCACTGATTTTAGGGAGTTTTGGATGATTCTTGAATAATTTTCCAATTTTCCCTCAGCCCCAGAGTCTCCAAGAGGGGATGTTAAGGAGTGAAATTTATTTAATAGCATTCAAAAGCAGAAGGTGTTTTTGAGGTCAGATGCCTCCAAAAAAGACATCTCTGAGGTTGTTCCCCTCAAAAATCCAATGGTTTTTAGGTCAAGCCACTGAAAAAAAAATCTGCATTTTCGAGGTCAAACCCCTTCAGAAAAGGTGGTTTTGAGGCCAAACCCCCTCGAAACAAGGCGGTTTTGAGGTCAGCCCCTCTAAAATAAATGTGACGTTGAGGTCGTTGCCCTCGCAAAAAAGGCGATTTTCACATCAAACCCCTCCAAAAAAGGCACTTTGAGGTCAAACCTTTTTGGTTCCTTGTCAGAGGAGGATGTTGTCGGTGGAGGCCTGGCTGGGTTCAGGTGCTCCGCGGGCGCGTCCCCTCAGGGGGATCCTCTGCGGCCTCCGCTCCCCTCACGGGGTCCCCTCAGCCCGCGCCCCCCCCCCGGCCCGTTCCCGCCACCGTT